GAGTAACAGCGATAGGGTTGCCCCTGGGGGGGGTATACCGCGCTGAAACGGCAAATTTTCTCCCGCGCCGCTCCCCACTCATCACATGCAACTTCTTACAACCGAAGCAAGTACGACCCCCCTCTACAAACTCATCAAAATACGACCCCCCGTTGCTACTTGTAGCAACATAGGGTTGACCCTGATTGGAATGGAAGCTGCGAACCCTTGCTTGAGAAGCAAGACCGCTACCACTGCACTACCGAACCCCAGCACATCCTTTCTTCGTGACATTTATAAGCGACCATACACGTGACTTGCAGGCAAAACACTGAAAAGCGGCAACAAAAACCCTCCGTAACTCCTTTCAGAGAAGAGTTCAGCAGATAATGAAAGCAGATTTGAGTTCAGCGTCTCATGTGCGTACAGAAATGTGCACCTCATTTCATTTGGCCGGATTGGCCTGATGACCTTTCCTAGTTAAACTTCCCAAAGTGAGTTTACGTCGATTTCGAATCATCATGAAGGTGAAACGGAATGTTCATCATATGTTATGTAACAAAGACAATGGACTTTTGTTCATGTACAAGGAGCCCTTGTGGCTGATGCTATCACGACGTCGATTAGCGGCAGTGTTTTGTGTTAATAACCGTCAAAAAAAAGAGTCGGTTTTCATCTGTGAAGCAGGTTTTGTCGACTCATAATGACTCTGATGTCATCACAACGCACCAACGAAAAAACCGACGTTTTTAGCTTGACAAAAAACGTAAGGACGAAGCAGAAAAGAAACTACCGGGTGGGACGTAATCACTTAAGTGGCTGCAAAGAATAAAATATGGCTTTCTGGTTTTGGTTTTTGGATTGTTGACCTTTTCGTAAAGATATGCAGTGTATCAGATTCCAGCTGGTACCGCATGAGCACAAGCCTGTCTGCATGATCTACAGTAATCAGCAAGAAGAGGTTGATGTTTGGGCAGAAAATTGACCCTTCCCACAAATCCGGAGACGTGTTCGCCGTGCGCGAGATTCGATCCTGATGAGTCTCCTGAAAAGGGCGGCTCTCCTAGCCACTGCTCGAGCGCCTCTCTCTGAACCTCAATCTCCTGTTCCAAAGCAGGAAGTCAACATTTCGGTGCCTACAGCAAGCTGCGGCTCAACTTTTAACGAAGCATGAACGTAAAAACTCTGTGCAACTTGCTGAGATTCTAAGATTTGAAGTGCGAAGTGTTTGGCATTGATAAGTTTTTTCTGGGGATGCGCCGTGCATTTTACTTAACTTCAAAATCGCGCTGGCACAGACGTTCTGGCTTTTACGCGCGCTCGCCGGGCCTTTTCATTTTTCCACCCTTTTATTTCCCTGTGATTTTTGTTGGTGAGAGGCGTTGTCGACTCATGTGCTATCAAAGAACACTTAAAAGAAGTGGCTTTTAGAAACTAGTCAGGCCGCCTATTTATCCTGAAACCTCTAATTAGCTGCGCTGACAGGACTCAACGCGCGACTTCTAGGAAGAGTGCCGGAGTGAGCAAGACCGCACTATCATTCAGCAATCTGTATACTAGGAAGCCTTTCTGAACGGACCCGTAAACTAGGAAACCTTTCTGAACTGACGAATGCGGGACCGTTGACCAATGACCAATATCATCCATCGCTATCGCCCGTCCGGTTTCAAGGGATTTTGCGATCACTAGCGCAGCAATTGGGACCACTCGGTCCGCAAAAGGGGGGATCGCTATAATAACTTGAATCAGCGACTGATGTGTCTCGCAATCACAGGTGCGGGGATTCGAAGCTTGCAAAGCTTCTCGGAATCCCAAATCCCTACAGGGTGCTCCTGAAACGGTTTGAGACTATCTTGAAGGGCTTGAAGGGGCATGCCTGATCGTAATCACAGATGACTTTTCCACGTGACTAAAGGCCCAGTATAGAATCTAGTGAATTCAAATGCTGAATATGTTTCTTATCGAACAGTGAGGCGGAATGGTGCACTGGCAAGTGGCGTTGCTTATCACGCGCACGGTGCGGAGATCAAAGCCTAATCGGTACGTTGTTCAGGCCAATAAAGCACGGCACTCTCGAAGTCAACCAGTGCAGACCTGCCTGGGAGACAAACCTAACGACACTTGCTTTCTGAATTTCTGAATAGAAGAAGAATACGTGGCGCACTCCAGGAGGAGATTGCGCTCGATCTCCGATCTGGGGTTTCTCCTTTTCATGGATTAGTGAAATGTTGTGAGAAAGGATTCAAACTGATGAGTCACTCGTGCGGTTCGGAATTTTCTCAGAGTTTCAGTACTTTGTGCCCTCCCCCACACAGTGATCATTCATGACCACATAGGATCTAGAGAAGAATCTGAAAAATGCTCACACAATCAATCTTTTCTTCAAAGGGCTACCCATTTTGGAATGGGTAGACGCGGGGCCGTTATCTGATGTGGCACTTGTCGCAATTCACTTTTGATTCGCAACAACAGAAAGACCTTGAAAACCCGTAAATCCGAGAAAGTTTGTAAAGTGCGCCCGACCTTGAAATCGCTATCGTATCTATGTGTACAGCCACTGCCGACGTGATCACGCCCATGCCCTCTATAAATACCTAGCAGAGGTTTTGCTAAGACAGTTCTCAGCAATGAGTGCTAAGTTCTTCGTTACCGTCGCCTCCGGCGCTTCAGCAATCGCCATCTTCGCCAGCTTGATCTGCGTTGGCGTCCTTTTCCAAGACATCAACAACCTCTACGATGACGTCATGGACGATATGCATGAGTTCAAGGTGAGTTGGTGCTTTTAGGATAGTGTAGCAGCCCTAAAAGGATGCTGACTGAAGGGAGACAGTAAAGTATGACTGTAATAAGACCAATTTCAGATGCTCGCCAATCAAGCCTGGAAAGAAATGGTGATCCCATCCCCATCATCTGGAAACACTGAGAGCGGAACAATCTTCGGTCGTGACAAACGTGCTGCTGGACAATGCGGTTGCGCCGCACAGCCCAACAACTGCCCGGCTGGACCTCCAGGACCTCCCGGAAAGAATGGTCTTGCAGGTGAAGACGGTGCTCCTGGCGAGCCAGGAAAGGCCGGTACCCCAGGTGTTGCCATGTTCAACCCCAAGACCCCAACTGGATGCATCACATGCCCCGCAGGAGAACCTGGACCAGCTGGACCTGATGGACCCGCAGGACAACCTGGACCTGATGGACAACCTGGAGCACCAGGAGGACCAGGAGCCAATGGACAGCCAGGAGCACCAGGACCAATGGGAGATGCCGGTGCACCAGGACAGCCTGGATCACCTGGACAGCCTGGAGCACCTGGACAGAACGGACAGCGTGGACATGGCGCACCTGGAGCACCTGGACCATCCGGACCAGCTGGACCCGCTGGACAACCTGGAGCCAATGGACAGCCAGGAGGACCAGGACAGAGCGGCCCTCAAGGACCTGCTGGACCTGCTGGAAACAAAGGACAGGCTGGAGCACCCGGAACTCCAGGACAGCCCGGAGGACCAGGTCTACCTGGAAACGATGCCGCCTATTGCCCATGCCCACCTCGTACCGCCGATGTTGAGAGTGCTCCTCACTCTCAGGGCGGTTACAGACGCCGTTTCTCAAAGATCTAAACCACGAAGAAAAATGAGTTGTGGAGTCATTTCAATCGTTTTAACATCAATAAACGTTTGACTCTATTCGGTTTTATGAAATCATTGAACATTCATTGTCAGAGAACTAGCGTTTATTTTGAATTGGTTCCTATTACTGAATTGTAAGTGAGGGGGGGGGACTCTTTCCGCAGCTCCTTGTTGTGGGTTAACGAGTTCTGCATTGACCTCAAGGTTCAATCTTTATGACGTTATTCAGAGGGACTGTGCGTGGAGGGGAGAAAGAAACAAACTTCCCCTTCTTCTTGCTTCTGCTTCTTTCATTAAGTTTTCCCCAAAATCGTCACAAAACACCTCAAACACGACCATAAGGCTCCCCCAGCTACATCCACGCCCCCCTGCCTTTTTCATCTTTCACCTCCGTCAACTCGGAAAACGATCCCCTCTAAGAACTCGAATACGGCCCCCTTTGAGAAATGCGCAACACAGGGTTGACCATATACAGGGTGGTCCAAAATTATGAGGACCAAGACATTGTGTCGTTAAAAACGCATAGTAGCTTGATGGAACAAACAAACTTCAGGGAAAGTGTTTGTAACTCTTATCTCAAAGTAATTCCAGAATAGAATTGAGATCTGCCACCTGCCCCGTTTACACGAGCCTTCAGATGAAGGGGGTGGCGCGTGCGGTGGCACGCAACTGAGGCGTGTCAAATGTTTCCAGGCCTTCTGCTCTGCTTTCTTCAGGGATCAACGTTTTGTGGGGCATTCATTTACCTGTCTCCAGGGTGTAAAATACAGAATTCTAGAGCTGTTAGGTGGAGGTTCCATTGTAACAATTCTTCGAGAGCAACAAACTCGAAAAATAGCTTTTTAGAGAATTTTTGCTCTATTCTTGGGTGCTCGGTCCAGTAAAACGTCCCAAGTATGGTACTCAAGTGGCTTCCTATCCACTACAGATGTGGAGTCTTTAGAGTGTCTGGCTGGGTTTTCACATCAATTTTTCATTTTGGGAGTACGAAAGTCGACAAGGGGACCTAGTTTCTGCATCTGATAATTGTCCTGGTGGTACTGTAACTTTCGAGTCTCCGAATTTTCCATCTGTGGTGGTTCCAAACTTATTGAAGAGTTGAACTGTTGCCCACATGAGCTTCCTGATACGTTAGACTGCCGCTAGATGTAACGTGCCAGAGCCCTTAGTGAGTTCAATTTGAGGAATGACATAAGGAGGTGTTGCTCTTTCACTAGTTTTGAGAACTGCATGAAGTTTAGTTTCGAAAGGAAGAATACACTGTACCCTATCACATGGTGCACAGAAAAGGAAATGAAAATGGAGCGACTCGGAAAAAAGTGGATATGACCGCGCGCGCACGCGGTCCTCATAATTCGGACCACCCTGTAGGCCGCGAAGTCACCTTCGCACTTCCTCACGTTTGTGCAGCTGACATAAACTGGAGAATGAACTTGGAACGTGCAGCTAAATGTCTCGAACTAATCGAACATTACAGCTTCGCACTAAAGCTGCTTTTCTCAATAGGCGATATGGTATCAAGGGGAAGTTCCTGGAACGGACTCAAAAGACACTATTCTATGCCTGACGCCCATCGGCCCAACTTGCTATGGCGCATGGAGACGAGGCAACAGGTAATCCTGCTGCAAGACGTTCCTGCAATGTAACTCGACAAGCAGTTCGTCGCTTTTGTCCATTATCTTCCTGATTTCTTTTGGGGTCAGCAAAGCCACCATAGAAATTCTCTTATTCACAGCTAACGTAAAATACTCCGTACGTCTATATACATGAGAAGTATTAAGTTGTTGCATTATAAATGTCGCTTTTGGAAACTTATCACAAAATTTGTTGGAACAGCAACAATTCGGCATCTCAGAAGAAGAGATGGATACTACCTTATTGTGCCAGGCTTCGCCATTCCTCACGCAGAGACTCAACGTCCTTCTCGAAGAATCTTAGGAACTGTGCGCAGGTAAATATGGGCATCCAGATTCCGAATTTTTTGTACTCCCTGAACTGTTTCTCTTCAAAACGTGCGGCGTTGACTCGGATGCGCAGCACATAGATGGAGTGTGACCAGAGCTGTTTGGCGGAAAAGTCAAATGTTTTCAGCCTGGTCTCGCACTTTTTTGCTGGTGATTTATTTTCCGTAAAATGCAGCTTTTTTTCGTCATGAAAAGAGGTTATGAGATCGATGTTCGTTTCTCGGCGAGCCACTGCATGGTTTGATGTAGGTCGATCTTCGTTTACGAGTGCTGTGACCGTGTAGGCTGAATTCATCCCCTCAAAAAAGTCGTAGAATATATCTTTCGTACACACAACGAAATTTCGGTCACATCTTTAAAAGAAAAAATTTCTGTTTTGAAAAAAGTAAATGGTGTGCGACAACGAGTAGGGTCGTTTGGGCTTTTGAATTTCCTCTTTCGAATGAATGCTTAAGTACCTCTGGATTTTTGAACACAGCCGAGTGCGGTGAAGCTAAATCTGGTGCGACATTTATAATGCAACAACCTAATAAATTAGGCTATCGTAATGCAAAGATTAGCATACGAATAAATTATATGTTACTCAATATTTCTTGTATTCGACGATTATTCGTCGCAATTCTTGCTTTGGAGGCGTTCACCATTGAGCGCATGTTTTTCACGTCTTCATCGAGCGATTCCAGAACTGTGGATAACCTGAAAACGAGTGAAGTAGGGATAGATGAGAATTCTTTTACGAGAATAAACTGTAGCGACTATTATGGACCAGTGTGGGCTAGTTCTTGTCCACAGCATCGATTGTGTGATTTACGGAACATTGGATAAAAGCTTAGTAGCAAAAAGCTTTCGTAGTTGATTCGCAGTTGATAAATCTATTTTTTGCGGATGCGCCACGCAGTTTTCGCACATTCATTCGGGATATGGTTTAGGGGCACTGAATGCGATTGTTGGCATACGCAATAGTTGATGTTGGCAAGCCGTGTGGGGTATCGAGATATTGAAACATCGCTCGTTCCTCGAGGTAAATGCCTTTGACAAGGACGTGATTTTGAAGCACTCATGAGATAGGCATACGCATTTAATGGCCCAGGAAACCTGAATGAAGTCGCTGTAGAGGGGTTAAACATGTCTCGCTGGTGTAACTTGATCTTGTTGGTGTATAACCTGCCCCGCCCCCTACCCCTCTTGCCCTCCCCCCTCCTCTAGTTGAGGCAATGTTTGCGTTAGATTTGAACAAAATAGCTGTACTTCCGCTCACGCTAACCCTCGCGATGCCACAGAGCTTGAATACATGTCCTATAAGAAAAAACGGTTGAGTGTCAGAGGGGAGTTAACATAAGTTGCAGCCACTGTTTCCTTGATTCATTGGCGGAAAAATTCCGCAAGATGCCCCGTAAGGCGGGCCTGTCAAAGCGGTAGCATTAACCGAACAGTGACAAAATAAGCGAATGGAAACTCACTTGTGGCTATCTCCTATCCCTTGAGCATCCTTGGCCTTTAGTGAGCTCTCGCACTTTTTCGCATCATTCAGCCATCTATCCAACTCCTTTATCATAAGTTCCAGATCCTCCTGGTAATGGCAGCATTTTCTTACAGATTACATTTGTTACTTCAGAAGTGAAAGGGCAAAGTTCTGTAAAATAACCCAATCAATACCTGTGCAAAATCGAAGATACGTGAATAACGGATACACTGTTCTCGTCACAGTTTGCAGAGAGTTCGAAAATGCCTCGGTCTAAAATTTGAAACTTATATCCATCTGAAGTTATTGATCTGGATGCCCTATTACCTTTAGCTTTTCTCGAGCTATCGTCCCTTCGTCCACCTCCGCACCGGTATCGTTCAGATTCGTCTCCTTCAGTACGGTTGTGGTATCGATCATTTTTTGCACTAAACCTCCTCTTTGTTCGTTGCTGGGCTGAAAAGGGCAGATGGACCTAATCTAAAGCTTCAACCATAATTAATTTAAGAGAGTCTTCGTGACGGATCGGGCCTGCCTTGGGTACTGGAGAATAGACTTCCAATGAAAAAAAAAACTAAAGGCAGATTTTGGGGGAGCCGTACAGCACTGTCGAGATTCTGTGTACTCCTCCTCCCCATTTAGGCAAAGCTAGCCAATTTAGATTGAGGCTAGCTTTAATTGAGAGCTTCTTACAAGGGCCGATTACGTGGTATAAGCCCGATAGAAGCACTAAAAAAATAGTCAATACTGAAGGTCGCGCCCAGGGAAATGAGGAACTGAACTGACGACAGGGGAATGAGGAACTATGGAGACGGGCGAGTCGCAGACACTATTCTGCACTGTGGACAGAGTTCTGATTCTACAGTACCGTCAGAAAAGAAATCACCGCAAGTTCCTTGCCATAACTCATGTCGAACTTGATTATTCTCGACTGTTTTTTGACAACATTACTCTTCGATTTTCATGCAAGATGCGATTAGGCGAGAGATCAACTTCTGTCAACGCGAATGTCACTTTTTTCGAAAATCTGTAATAATGGCAGGAGTCTAAGCCAGCTTTCCCGTTTTTTTTTTCTTAGCCCAGCACGAAATTGTATCCTAATTATTCTTTTTTGTTGATGGATCGTGGTGGGAAGTTATATCCTCATTTTGTGGTACTACCGCTATAATTTTGTTACATTGTTAAAACAGGTGAATTTCGTCATGTTCCAAAAGTGTAAGCAATGCTCATTAATCCGAAAGAAAAGAATTTTCAATGGTCAAGTTATGGAAACACTTTTCTATTATTACTGATGGGAATATATAAAAAAAACCAGCGAAATATCGAGTATGATTTCGATTATGGCAAAAAAAGTCTACGGTGGCTACTTCTTTGACGGTACGTATGGAACAATTTAATGTTAGGATGGGCCACGTATTCGACTTACTCTCACAATTGTAAACAAATGACACTAATCAGCCCTTCATAGCGGTTAGCAGGGTCAAACTAATGACGAAAACCACTTATTTCCAATGAAAAGATGCTGTCCACTGAGATAACTCGGCATCAGATAAGGCGACATTTTATTTTAGGTGGGCTGCAATCAGCAGGAAACGCCACTGAGCCACCCGCATGCCCCCTTTACTTTTCAAGAATTTACCTCAAATAAAAAGTTCACAGCGATTACCCCTAACTTTTAAAAACGGTTTGTTATCAGAAACGACTGACCTCAAGAATTTCTGTAGCACGGAAATCCGGCAGAGCTTCTTCTTCCTCCACAAGAAAGTTCTCCTCTGGTTCTGATTTCTCCTTATCGATAGTTTCACTGATCAGAACCACATTTTGTGGTGCAACCTTAATTTATTTCAATAAAAAGGGTACTGTATATAGAAAAATCCGTCCATATAAGGGTAAATGAACAAAGATGCGGATTCCGCTTCATATAGGAAACATACGGCATTGCTGGCTAATACACTCATCTAGCAAAGCGCAGCACTTCTGAGAAATATAAAATGGGCGAATACCTTCTTTTGGGGAAACACGGAATTAGTTGGCTCTTATTCCGAGACCCGAGACAATAAGATCGGCGTGGCGCAGTTGTCAGGATGTGAGCGCTTGCACACACCCAGCTGCCTTTCAGAGCTGATAACAGGGAACAGACGGCCAGAGAGACTCACATCCCTCTTCCAAGACCATCGCCGCGTGTGCTACTGAGTCTGCAATTACGGCAGGCTCGCGGCGGGAAACACGGCAAATCACTTCCGTTCAATCAGATGTTTGTGAAACCACTATCGTGAAGCCTCCCAACAGTTTCTATTTTCCAATGCGGAGGCCAGAACAACTGCGCAGTTCCAACATTCATACCTCTGTCACGGCTATCTGCTTCCTTTTCAGTTTTGGAGGTGCAGGTCGAGCCGCTGCCGTGCCAGGTCTTCGCCATTGATGTATGAGGTCTTGCGCTCGGTAACCTGTATATTGAAATCACTTCTATTTAAATAATGGAACAAGAAAACAAAAATAAATAAACTGTTTAATGAAACATTGAATTATGAGTATATGTATAAGGAAAAATGATGTGCATGGTACGGATCCGGAGGACAAAATTGTAAATTAGGCGTGGGAGGAGTGTGCTGCTGCGAGTGTCGAGGGCATAGTCGCCTCAGGCGAAGAGAGTCTCTATTGGGTTATAGTATGTTTCAGCCCTTCAGGAGTGCGGACAGGCGTCTGACTGGTTGCTCGCGCGACATCCGCAGGGTGCACTCGCTCCACCTACAGCGTGATAATATCTCTTTAGGCGTCACCTTTCCAAGCTCGGCTGTTGAGGGCTTTCGACCATATCGCTTATACCGCT